GGGGGCAGGGGCGGGGGTCAGCAGTCCTGGGCATCTGCTAGGATGGTGCTCATGTCATCCCACCTTGTCTTTCTGTTTCCAGGTTTTCACGCTTCTCATTTCTGTGTCCTGTCCTCAGACTAGACTTCCTCTTAGTCTTTTTAATCGTATTTTTCTCTCCTTAAAAAATCTCAAGTGACTTCTTTGTCAGTAGGACAGAATGCACGTTTGTTTGGCCTTCCAGGTTCGTCATCATTTTGTTTCTCTCTAGTATGAGGTCCCTAGTACGTGAGCAAGGGGACGGAGGGGCCGGGTGGGAATGGGCGCCGCTCACGTATCAGGGGCTCACATCCTTGCAGAGCCCGCAAATGAACAGATGTATGACTTACGAGTCTTTTCTTCTTAATTCTCTACCGTAGTAGACGCTGGGCATAGGGAAATAAGTGAAGACAGCCCTTGCGTTCCGGGATTGAGAGTTTAGGAGGCGGGCGCACGGGGGATGGGTTACAGCCAGCGTACTGAGGGTAACAGTAGAGGCGCCTCGGAGGTCCGGCGGGGTTGCTGAACAGGGGACGGGCAGCTGTAAGGGCACCTGTGGAGGGTGTGGGGGGAAGAGTCAGAAAGATTAGTGGGGAAGAAGAGGCTTGAGCCAGGTTTTAAAAGTTACGTGAGAATTGGCCAGGTACCCCAGGAGGACGGAGAGTGCTCTCGGAAGAGGCTGAGAGGTGGAGCTGGAAGTTAAGGAGCAGAGCCGGCTGGGGGGAGCCAAGCTGGAGGGGAAGCCGAGCTGGAGCGGGCAGAGCCTGGCAGCTGGGTGTCTCAGTGCAGCCGGTTAGTGGGAGCCGACTGCCAGTGAACAGTCACTGCCGTGTGCTTCACTTTAAAAAGATAAAAGCCGATTTTATTTAAGAGTATCCTTCATGAAGCAGTAAAAATTATTAATTTTATTAAGTCTGATCCTTGAGTCAGTGTTTTGTGATGAAATGGCAGTAAAGCACTCTCCCAGTTGAGTGGTCAGAGGAACTAGCTGCTGTTTTTTTTTTTTTTGGTGGAACACCACTTTAACTTGAATGAACGGCTGCCAGGAAACTGGTTTTTGAGACCTGGGTACCTGCAAAATGAGAGTCTGCCACATCAAGGAGAACAGCTCGTGGTATTTGTCGACAGTGATAGAGCCTGAGCTTTCCAGGGAATACTTTTGGAAAACTTGTTTCAACCACCATGAATTTGACCACATCCCCCTACTAAAGACTTTTCTAATGAGACTGGTGGTGACCCTGAAGGATGACTTGCCGATGCTGAATGGTGGAAGATCTGCGTAACTCAGTGAACCTGTATTTTCTCTCTGAGCCATGAGTATTGCAGAATCATTATGGGTAGAAGATCCAAAGTGTATGACATTTCAGTGGATTTTAAAGTATGAAAGTATGGTTTCAGATCCCAGCACTGCATCTGACCTTAAAGAAATGCCCACTTGGAGAGGCTCGTGCAGTGTCAGAGAAGAATAGCCAGTTACCTGACAGACACGAAAATGCTTCGCTCTTTTCCAGCTGCGTGTGTGTGTGTGTGTGTGTGGCTGGATTTTCTTGTACTTCAGCCAATACGATACTGCAGTAGATTGAATAAGAGCAGCTATCAGAATCCATTACCTTTTATGAAATTAGACATTCAGGAGTTGCAAAAATGTAAAATAATTTGTGCTGGTTTCCTTAGTGAGGCTGAGTGATGGGTCTAAGCCATTTGTCATTTCCTGGAAGTCATGAATTGGAGGTCCAGTTTCCATCCATTTCTTCGTCAGAGTGTTTAAAATACTTCTCTCCAGGGTCCCAAGGCCAAGCCTGTGGTGTCCTTCATTGCTGGCTTAACCGCTCCTCCGGGCAGAAGAATGGGTCATGCGGGGGCCATCATCGCTGGAGGAAAAGGTGGTGCCAAAGAGAAGATCTCGGCCCTTCAGGGCGCGGGAGTTGTGGTCAGCATGTCTCCTGCACAGCTGGGAACCACCATCTACAAGGTGAGCCGTGGCAGCGGCCTGAGCACCCTGAAGTCACGGGCAGGAGAGTGGGTGGCCGCCCTGGCGCCTGGACACCGTGGTCTTTTCCTCTGGGTCTTAGCTGTTTGTTTCTGGTGTCTGGCAACTCCACTGATGTCCTCACGTCCTAACTGGGCATGACCAGGAGTAACGTTCTGATTCCAGAACTTGATTCGTTAAACATCTTAAGTTGCTCTTTTGTGAGGAGTGAGGTGTGATGTAAAAGAAAGCGTTTCGGAGCCCAGCAGTACCATGAGTTCCGTTTTGGAAGCAGTGCGGAGAATTGCCTTGCGTTTCATCTTTCCCACAGAGGGCCTCTGAGATGTAGCTACGCTGGTTCCACAGGTTTTCTCAGGGAGAGAGACTGAAGGCTGACCAGCAAGAAATGAAAACTGGATGAAGAGGGAGTCGGGGATGGGGAAAGATCTAATGAAAAGGGTGGGGGTGTTCAGTCTTTGCTTTCTGGCCCTTGCTGTGGCGGAAGGCCATTATTATTATTATTTTTTTTTACAGGTAGAGGGTCGACTTCGTCACCATTTGCCTCGCTTTTCCCTTTTTAAATACGACATCGTGATTTAAATGCTCACAGTGATTTGGCGTCCTCCATAATCATTTTGCAGTGATTTTTAGCCTGTATCTTTGAACGGTCATTTAAGGCTGCCTCTTTCTTTATTTTTATAGTGATTATAGTCTTTACAAAAAAAAATCAAAAAATAAAACCTGTACACATGTTAAAAACAGGCCCAAATTGTCTTCCCAGAAGGGGGCCATGTTTCAGCACAATCTTTGCCCTTTGCCTTGAATTCCTTGCTGTACTGAATCTTTGCATGATCCTACCTTTTGGAGTAAGACACAGTGCACCAGAGTGTTTAAAAGAAATCTGGGTAGTTAGAGAGTGTGTGAAGAAGAATTTTATTTAAAAAATGGGAAGTAAGGAGAAAAAAAGCAAATGCTTAAAATTCATGTCAGAGACATGTGTTACCATTTCTCTCCAGTAGGTGGCAGCAGGCATCTACCCATTTGGCTGTATTCTAGTTACAATTGACAGAAATGCGATTTTCAGTATTGTTTCCTTTTCGTATATTTCTGAGGTTCTTGACATTTTATTTAAATCTGAACTGAATCTGTGTTTAGTTTTATTCTCTGAGGAACTAGACAAACCTGTTTCCGTTGCCGTATGAAAAGGGCTGGTGTGGTTGACATACAGTGTTGAAGGTCTGGATAACGCCTGATGATAGCACTGCAGGAGAAAAATAAGTGCGGCTCACAGCCTCTCAGCCGCTGCGCTTGGAGACGTACAGCTGACGCTCCGGGTCCAGCCCAGCGGACTTGGCACTGACCAGGCGTGTCCGAAAGCTGCCGTTTTGTGTTCAGGCACCTGCACCCGGGTACATTTTATTCTACAGTGTTTGGTTGCTCAAAGAACCCTGAAGATAAAAGGTTTCAGAAGCACTTTGCCCGTGAGTGTAATTTGGGTCTTTCATCTTTTTGTCCCCTCTCTCTTCTGTTTCTGAAGGAGTTTGAAAAGAGGAAGATGCTATGAAAGAAAAACAAACGAAACGGCCCCTAGAGCTCTGGAGCGAATCACTGTAGAAACGTGAGCCGGCGGCAGCTTGCCTGTTGTGCACGGACTGTCGGCCTGGGCCCCTGTCGCGGGCCCTCGGTACAGCGGGAAGCCAGAATGAGGCTTGGAGCGGCCCACGCTGAGATCTGCTCACGTCCGAATAACAGCCAATAAACAAACCATTTGATTTGAATATGGTTTTGGAGACTTTTTATGGTTCCCCTGTGGGGGAGGGGGAGCGGGAGAAACGGAGTGTGGGTGTGTAAGTGTGTTTTAATGGGCCCAGCAGAGAACATTCTAACTGAGACTTTTGAGAGAATGAGTCTGTAAACATTTCAGTTTGGCGTCTGATTACCTTGGGCACAGTGTGACCTTAGGTCCTTCTGAATCAGTTTCCTCACTTGTACGTAGGATAGTCCCCATCGTGTAGGACAGTTTTTGGAGAATTAGAGGTGAGTACATAAAGCGCTTGGCCTGGGCCTACTCGTTGTCAGTGTCAGCATCACCCTTAGGGTCGTCACCATCGTTGTCCGAGAGGAGCTGGACGTTCGTTTTTGGCCGAATTGGGAGACGGAGGGCCTGCGATGACGCTTTGTTCCTCTGTGGTTCTGCGGAGAGCGCTCCCCTTCCCCGTCCAGAGCCCGCACTTCTTTGCTTGAGGTTTAAGACGTTGAAGACAGTCGCTGCAAGGAAGCAGGAAGACTGTCAGCCATCCTCTTGTTTAAGAGGGAGCTTGTTAATGAGCAGTTCCAGTGGGTAATTGTCACTGAACAAGACAGGGACTTCCATTCTGCAGAGGGACAGACGACAAGATTCTCTCACGTGTAGCTGCCCTGAAGGAAACAGAGCATCAAAACCTAGTATTTGGAGAAACCCCTGAAGAAAGGCTGTCTGGGGAGGGCATGCGAGTGGGTACCTGAGGGCTGGAAGGCACCAGTCACGCAGAAGGAGGGCGAGCACCCAGGCGGAGGCAGGGCGGGGGAAGAGCTCGTTTTGCAGAGGTGAAGGGACATTGGGGGCCCGGAGGGCAGTGACCCCTGGGAGCTGCAGGAGGTTTCGGGGTGCTGGGGAACCAGGTGCTTTGGGAGCGGCCATGACCATGCCCAGGCTGCTGAGGGTCCAAGAGCAGGCGTCAGTAGATGGGTTCACAGCCCGAGGATTCTGCCTGGGCCAAGGGACATGGCTTTGGGTCAAGCAGACTTTAGTTGCTGCTCATAGCATTTCTTTACCTTGAAAGTGGGGGTCACGACCCCCGTCCCACGGGGTGCCTGGGGTAAATGTACATGATGGGTGTGTGAGCATGCGCTCTGCCAGGGCTGGGATTTCCCCATAAATGCTTGAACTTGCCTCCCGCTGGCGCTCAGGGTGGCCCAGCTGTCACGATGACGGGGCAGGAAGACACTGCCTGTCTTCCTGGTGGGCACCTCCAACCCAAAGGTCCTGTAGGGCAAACCCATCTTTCTTTTGTCTGAATTGTGACAAGGACACAGTCCGGATGAGGGGCAGACATCCTTTGGAAGGTCCATCCCTGATTCCAGGCCACTCCAGGAACATCCGTCCAAGACAACCCCTCTGTCCTCACACCTCTGAGGAAGCTCAGTGCCCCTTGACCCTTTTCTTTCCCTCTTTCACCCTCCATCTTCTCTTTCCTGTTCCCTTTCATTTTCCCTCCCCTTCCCTCTCTCTCCTCCCCTCTCACTCCTCCCAGCATCTTGAGAAGCCACCCTCTCCTCCGCTCTCACCTCTCTCCCCTCCTACAACCACTGCCACCTCTGGCCTGAGCAGCTCAAATGTATCTGAGCAGGCTGTTTTGTTCTGGTTTTTCTGATTTCATTTTCATAAACAAAAAGCGAAAGTTCAACCCATGACCCCGCTGCATTTTAAAAACTTGTATTACAGACACTTTCAAACATTTGCAAAATGATGATGAGAGTATAACGAACTCCCATGCATCCATTACTGGCTTTGAAAATTATCAACATTTTGCTGCTATTGTCTGATCTGTGCCTCCAATCCATTTCTGCCAGTGTTTTAGTTGTTACAGTTGTTTTGTCGAGGTAAAATTTACATACGCTGAAATGCATAGATCTTTAGCTGTATTTGACAAATGGATGAAGCCATGTAACCACACCCTCTCAGAATATAGAATATTTCCTTCATCCCAGAAAGTTCCAGCCTCTTCCCCCAAAAGATAACCTGTGTTTTTATTCATCTTAGATTAGTTTTGTCCATTCTGGAAAATGTATATGAAGGGAATGAAATAGGATGCAGACTTCTGTGTCTGCCCTCTTTTCACTCAGCATAATTTCTGTGACGTTCACCCATGTCCTTGCTTGTATCCAGTGGTTCATTGCACTGTTAGTGCTGAGTTCTAGTCCATTGAATGGACATACCACCACGTGTTTATCCCTTCTCTGGTTTTTGGCCCTTTGAGTTTCCAGCGTTCAGCTGTGGTAGACAAAGCTGCTACGATGACGACTCCACTCCGCTGTTGCAAAGAGAAAGTAGCCAGAGACAGTTCTAAACAAGTCCACATGGCTGTGCGCCCTTCAGATTTGTCAGCTCGGAAATTTGAATGTCATATCATTTTCACATGTCCCAAAATATTTTTTATTGTTTCCGACTCTTAAAAAACATAAAAGCTATTCTTAGTTTGCACGCCTTAGAAACCCGGCAGGCTGGATTTGGCCCACGAGCCATCGGTTGCTGAACCCTGAGATAAACCACGTGTGTTTTAATGTGTCCACCTCACCTGCCTAAGATGCATCTTCTTACAAGTTGAGTCTGTCCTTTGCTTAAACCTAAATGCTTCCTCCTCCTTTTCCATGACATTTTTCAATCTCCCACCTGCCCCAAATCTCGCAGGGACTGTGCTGGCATTTGACTTCCGGTAGCCTAAATTATCTGCACTTCTCATCCTGTTCAGCTGGACTCCTTTTTCTCTTTTCCATCTTGTGCCTTCAAGCAGGCTCTTCTGCCATTCTGTCTCTTCTGAAGGGCAGTGCTTGCATTTTATGTCTCTGTGTGTCTCCTGGAGTCATGCCCTACGCCTGCTTGGTGCTCAATAAATACCAAGAAAAAAAAATTGGTACTTTTTAGACTGTTCTGCGGGGCTCAACGGGATTATTTTGTGTGCAAAGTTCAGAAATAAAAAAGCCAAGCCCCAGCAAAATTGCTTCTTTTTGCATTTTTCATTTTGATGATGTCTCTAAGGTGTGGTTTCCTATATTCTTTATGTTCCAAATATACTCCAAATTACCTTCTATTTCTGTTGTATCTAATAGATTGGAGGTGACATGAAAGGGCACAGGGCCCCTGGTCACCTAGAGTCATATACCAAACCCTGTCTGAATGATCTCAAAAACAGACTGCGCCAGACATTTTATGAAAGGCTTTTACCTTGAACCAGACAATTATGCACCATAAAGTTAATTCACACTGGAAGGGAGCAACAGGAATTCTGAGTGTGTTAAATGTAATTCAGCCAGTTGGGACAGTGGTGATTAGGACGACTCTGGGTGAGGCTGCCATATGTCATTCTGATCCTGGCACCGTTTGGAGGTCTTTGAACAGATGTTACTTGAGACACTTTTACTCTGGGAAGGGAGGAAAGGGAGAAAAGAGCTGGAGATTTTGGACGTTCCAAATTCCAAATAACGTGTCCATGTTGGTTTATTGATTGTACCAAATACTCCACACTCATGAGGGATGTTGAGGGTAGGGGAGTGTATACGTGTGGGTGGGGAGGGCTGTGTGGGAACTCTATGTGTTTTCTGCTCAATTCTGCTGTGAACCTGAAACTGCTCTAAAAAAATAAAGTCTATTAATAAAAAAAAGTTTATTAGTTTAATGTATCTCAGCAGTTAAATAGTGCTTTAGACAGGTGGTTCTCAAAGTATGGTCCCCAAAGTGTGAGCATCAGTGTCACCCAAGGACTTGTCAGAGATGCACGTTCTTGGGCCCCCCTCAGACCTACTGACTCAGAAACGCGGGGCACAGCAATCCGTGTCTTAACAAGCTCTCCAGGAGATTCTGACATACGCCAGAATTGGGAACCATGGCTTCCGACCTTTGTCTAAAGGTCTAAACGGAA